AGAAAATAAAAGGATAACTATATGTTATCAACAAAATCTAGTAAATAAAAGTTACTAAAATGCTTCTCATAGTTGCTTCTGAATTCATAATACACATTACTCTTGATATAACTGACAAGAAACCCGTATGCATATAAGTAAATTCATAATACAGTATTGTCATGTTTCAAGCAACAGAAGGGTCAGACATATACTTCATCTTGATCTTTTGCAATTGTGGGACAACGTCTTTCATAGCAAGCCTTTCGTTAGGCAAGTCACTTGAACAGATAATCCCCAACTCCATGATGGAAGATAGACAGGCCTGTGTTGAAATTAAGTAGCTCTTTGGCCTTTCATTCCCATTTTCATCTTTCAGGAGATTGTAGTCCACAATATCCAACAGGCTGGTAGGATTTGCATCATTTACCCATTGTCGCAAGCTTGATTCCCCAGAAAACATAGGATCGGTATGTTGGATTTAATCTAATAAATCTATTTGTGGGCACATATGATTAATCAATGTGTATTGCTATCTTTGAGGATAACCCACTAAAGTGATCAATTAAGTTGGGTTAATTTGGTATTTAAATAAGTCATGGGGTTATATGTGCAGATACCAGGTTGTAATTATAATTTATTGAGGGGCTAAATTACAAAAGTACAACATCTATAAATAAGGGGTTATGGTCCCTAATCTAGGGTTACTACATTCTCTAATTCTCTTCACCCCCATCTAAGAGAGAAATTCGGTTTTAGAGAAACCCTAAGGTTAGAAGATCCAAAACCCAAAATCAAGACCAAGCAATGGATTCAGGTATAAGCTTCCGCTCTTTTAGATCCTTGTTAATCTCTTTGAATTAATCATGGCTATATGGTTTTAGATCTCAAGTTTTATGATGTAGATCTAACAAGTGGTATCAGAGCCAGCTTGATTAATTCTTAGGGATTTAAGTTTTATTGGGTTTTTGATCTTAAATCTCTGGTTAAAGATTCAATTTTTGTTCTCGGATGAACAGTAATGTTCGGTGAACAGTTGCGAAATTTTTTTTTTCGGATGACCAGTAAAGTTTTTTTCGGATGAACAGTAACTTTTTGGAATTTTTTGGAATTTTCTTTGATTTTTTCTTCAATTTTTTCCAATTCTGGATC